ACTCTAGAGAGCAAACAACTTGGAGATTCAGGGGTATTGTTTGATGATAGTGAAGGTCAGGCTGATGTTTGTATTCACAAATACAAGCGAAGCATAGAAACAGGACGTGCAGCTATCAAAAGGGGATATCAGGGCCGCCGCCTTACGCCGTCAACCATGTACGCTCGTTCGACGTTCCTCCCCGAGGCACCACACAACCTTCCGTTTGTGGTTGGTAGCCTTGACCAGACGGACAACCGCAGGCATTGGATGGCCCGTCAGCGGGATGAAAGATTTCGCCCTCGAGTGAATGGGAAGCATTGGTAGCACCTGGATTGATCCGCCGAGGCTAGCCGTTACATGATGCTACGTGGTGACGCAGTCCGCAACAGCCACGAGGTGGGCGTGATCAACCTCCGGAGCTGGAAGTTGTGGAGTCTCTAGAAACAAGGGGTGTGTGTATGCCGCCGTTCCCATGACCCGGCTGAGGAGAAAGCGGGTTCCACTGGCAAACGGGAGAAGCGCTCTCCCGGAGTCCATCGGATAAAGACTTACCCGGACGGATGCCGCTAATGTCGATCCGCCCTTGGCAACTCCACAGCGTTTTCCCACCTGAAATGGAGACTTTGCCTGCTGAACAGTGCCACGGCTGGTCCGACGGCCTTGTCTGGGTCAATGAGAAGTCTGAACATTGATTTGCCGGCGGGATAGAGTGCGCCAGTCGTGATCGCTGCCCACGCTGCGCTTCTTCCCCAGGACATCCGGGGAAATTCATCAAACATTCAGCCAGGAACGGTACGGCTGCATCTTGATCAAACCCCATACGACCCATCAACTTCGGAAACTCGCTCCCCTCGCCACCGGAAATTCTTCGTACAACGTCACTCAAGGGAACCTTATCTAAGAACGCACGTTTCCCGACTCAGTGTATCAATATCTGCATGCATATCAACCGTCTGCCACATCCTCACTGTTCATTCCCCTCCATCGCTTCACTCGATTGAGTCTCGGAAACAAAGATAATCGAGCCTCATCTTCTTCTCAACGTCTTCCTCCACTCAACCTCACCCCCTCTCACTAAATCACATCTGTCTTCGCGCAATGTCCGCAACACTTACAATAACCCCGAGCGCTCAGCTCACCAACACCATCAAGGCTGAGAGGTGTGAGGCCGTTGAGCGCCATGGCTACCTTTTCGGCCAGAAGATCACACATTCCCTTTCTCCCTTCCTTCACGGCACAATCTACAACGAGATTGGCTTAAAATGGGAACAAACACGGCTCGACTCGGCCGACATCCCCATGTTCCTCGAGCTGATCAAAGACCCCAACTTTTACGGTGCCTCCGTCACCATGCCCAACAAGGTGGCCATCATTCCCCACCTGGACGAACTGACCGAGGAGTGCCGCGACGTCGGCGCCTGCACACGCTCTTCATCCGCCACGCCCGACGGCTCTCGCATCTATTGCGGCACAAAACACAGACGTCGTCGGCGTGCGCGAGTCTTTCTACCAGAAACGTCGCAGACCCCGATGCCGTCTTTCCATAACCGTCCCGCCGTCGTCGTCGGCGGCGGTGGGCGCCGCCCGGTCCGCCGTCTATGCTCTGCGCAAGTGGATGAAGGTCACAGACATTTACCTCGTCAACCGCGACGACGCCGAGGTGCAGGCCGTCATCGAAGAGTGCACCACCCGCGGCTACGGCCAGGGCCTCCGTCACATCAAGGACGCGGCCGAGGTCGCCTCGCTCGAGAGCGTCGGCGCCATCGTCGCCTGTGTGCCTAACTTTACGCCCCAGACTGCCGAGGAGAAGGCGGCGCGGGCCGTCATCGAGGCGTTCCTCGGCAAGGAGACCAAGGGCGCCATGCTCGAGATGTGCTACAACCCTACCCCCTTCACCGAGCTGGGCGCGCTGGCGGAGGACGCCGGGTGGCAGGTCATCCTCGGCACCGAGGCCATGATCTGGCAGGGCCTCGAGCAGGACCGGTACTGGACTGGCCGTGAACTCGACCAGCTGCCGGTCAAGAAAGTGCAGGAAGCCATCGCGTCAAGACTGGGGCAAGCGTCAAAGTTGTAAATTGGGAAAATCAATGGGTTTGGTCATAGCGATGTATTATGTGCATGTTTTGATAGGCAATAAACAGTAGAATCATCAAGAAAGACGTGCAAGAAATGCTGGGAATGAAGGTAGTGCATGCAGTGATTTGGACCCAGCAACTACTTCCCGTTTACCAGGCAAACCATCTTGGCAGACACATGTGAACGTGCTTGGCTCATGTCAAGGGAGCATGGTAGGTTGTTCTTCTCGTTCTCTGGACGGATCATTGAATACCCAGGGACATTGCGCAATTTGCGGCCTGAAATGGTTCCGAATCGATCAAGTGGCATTCATCTCCTTTCTGCTGGGGACTGGGACTGTTTGCATGAATGGCAACCAGCAAGGGCCACTGTATTCTGTGGACAAAAGTGTGGGCGAAACAAACCAGGCCAAGTCGAAGACGCCGGCAGGCCAGAATTTGAGAGTATTCCCGAACAATACTTCGACTTCAGTAAACATCGCGAAATACCTACTAATGGACTTGATGAGGTTATTGATGGCGCCAACTCCAATACAAGGATCTCAATACCAGAGGATGCGCTAGCAACGCAAGGATTTAGGACCGGAGGCTTTTCACTAACAACTTCCGTTTTTCTAACGCCCTCGAACAAGTCAAAACATTCACTTCTCGGCACTGATTAAGACATCATTATTTAAATTTCCTGATTGGGTTTGCAAAAAAGCTTCATTAGACATCTCCCACATCTATCAGCATACAACCGCGCCCGCAAGGGACGCCTCTCATCTTTACTAGTAACACAACTGTGACTCCAGCAGCCGGTAGAACCTCCTCTACAGGTCCTGCTTCCTCTCGTACTGGTCAACCTCGCCCTCCTGCGATCCCTTCTCCATCACGTTTCCCTCAGCGTTAGCACGGAGGCCGCCCTCATCAGAGGCCAGCTCGGCCATGATAATCTGGTTGGCGCGCCACACGGGCTTCGTGACGAACAGCCTGTCCATGACCTCAAGAGGGATAGACTTGGTCTCGGGGATGAGGAAGAAGACGAAGAGGACGGAGAGGATCATGAGGGAGGCGAAGAAGAAGTAAACGCCGTAACCCCACGAGTTGAACATTTGCGGGGTGAAGCGCGAGATGATGAAGTTCCACAGCCAGTTGTTGGCGGCGGCCCAGGCCTGGCCGAGGGAACGGGTGTTGTTGTCGTAGATCTCCGAGTTGAGAACCCAGGGCGTGCCGTTCCAGGAGGGGGTGTAGAAGGCGGTCCAGAGGTAGAAGAAGAAGATGGCGGCGATGCCGCCGGGCGTCAGGGCCGCGTTCTCGTCGGCGTTCTGGGGCTCGGCGATCTTAATGTAGCCGCCAATGATCCACATGCAAATGGAACCACCAATGGCACCGATCATGAGCAGGTTGCGGCGGCCAATGTGGTCGATCATCCACAGAATCCAGACGAAAGTAAGCACCGTCTTAACAACACCGAAGATACCGGTGGTGAGAAGACCGGTGTTGGTGCCGCGGATGCCGAGAGAGCGGAAGACGGTGGGCGAGTAGTAGTTGACGGCGTTGATACCGGAGCCGTTTTGCCAGAGGAACAGCTGAAGCCCATTGTCAGCGCTGCCAGAAACGGAAACAAACTATGATAGGACTTACCATGCCACCAAGGAAGAAACGCCACTGGATCTTCTTCTGCTTGAGCGCGCCGAAGGGCTTCCAGAAACCGGCACCGACCTCGCGGCGGTACCTCTCGACGTCCTCGTTGATGTAGGACATCTCCTCCTGAATGTAGATGTCGGTAGGCTCGAGGTTACTGAATTCTGTGTTAGCGATCTGATAGATTACTGCATATGCTAAGTTGAAACGTACCGAATCCAGCAAAGAATCTTGAGGCCCTGCTCATTCTTTCCCTTGGAGAACAACCAACGAGGCGACTCGGGGATGAAGACGGCGCCAACAAGCAGCATACCGGCGGGGATCAGCTGGACAGCGATAGGCGTCAGCCACTGAGAGTGGCCGGGGGTCATGGTAGAGTCGACGCCATAGTTGATCCAGAAACCGACGAGACCACCCATCTGCCATCCAAGCTCGTAAATGCCGACCAGCCGGCCACGGATGGCTGGTGGAGAAAGTTCAGAAATGTAAATGGGTGTCATGTTGGAGCATCCACCAACGCCGAAACCGGCGAGAACTCTGCCGCCGATGATGAGACCGAGACCGCGATCACCGTTGGCGCCGCACATCATGCCGGCGCCGACGGTGAAGATGAGGGCGAAGAGGAGGAGAGACTTGCGGCGACCGAGGAAGTAGGATGAGACATAGGCGCTGAGGGAGCCGAAGAAGGCACCCGCCTGGTAGACGGAGACAATGTTGGCGCGCGTCAGAGCAAGAGCGCTGTCGCTGTATTGGGCAAAGTTGAACTCTTCCTGGAAAGACTTCAGGGCGATGGTGCCGCCGATGAAGGCAGAATCGTAGCCGATCATGCACGCGGCGAACGACGCGACCGAGGCGCACATGTAGACGCGCCAGTTGTAGACGGCCTTAGGCGTCGGCCTGTCTTCCTTGAGAGTGAGGATACCCATGGTGACTCAGAGTGCACCCTTCGGTTTGTGTGGCAGAGAAGAGAAGATACCCGAGTGGGTGGGAAAGGCACAAGAGAGGGGGAGAGAGTGCTGGGGTTGATGAAGGAGGGTGAGGAAGGGAAGGATTTGCCAAAGTTCGAGGTTTTGCAGGTATTATAGTCCAGAACGCGAGTTGGCCGTCTGTGTGGAGGGTGCAGCGGAGTTGTGTAGTACAGGCGTGGCTCAACCCTGTTTGACTTCGCGGAGAGCCGTTTACCCCAGCTCAGCCAAGTGGGTGGGAATCCGGGGTAGAGCGTGAGACGTTCCTGTGAGAGGCCGTGATGCC